GGATAAGCCATAGAGGAGTCTTTAGCCAACCATTAGAAAAGCTAAAGAGCGCTATGGCTGGACAGCGATAGGGCCATAGACAAAGCTAAAGAGCCCCATAAAGGCGACCATAAGAAATGCTAAAGACAGCCATAGAAAATTCTTTAGCTAATTGGGCCAAATAGCTAAAGCCGACCATACAAAGAATTTTCTATAGCCGACCATAGGACATTTTTGTATGGGTGATCACATAACATATCAAGCATTGCGAAATCTCATCTATCAGTCACGCAGCTCCTTACTCGAACGTCTAAATTCAGTTTGGTCTTCGGGTGTGATCCCTCAAGAATGGAAACACGCATTAGTAACACCCATTTTAAAGCGCGGCAAGCCCTCCTCTGAGTCGTCATCCTATCGCCCGATATCTTTGACATCATGCGTTGGTAAGCTTTTAGAGCGCCTGGTCCTTACACGCCTTCAGTGGTTCCTCGACGATACTGAAGCTCTTCCCTTTGAGCTCGCAGGATTCAGAAGCGAACGTTGCACCGCTGACTGCATTGCGACTCTCACCGCATTGGAAGACGCCCGTTCCCAGGGAAATACAGGCTTGGCAGTATTTTTAGACGTGGAACGCGCATTTGACTCTGTTCCCCATGATGTTGTTCTTGCGTGCTTGAGACATCTTGGCGTAACGGGAAGGACGTTAAGATATTTCAAAGACTTCCTGAACGGCAGGACTATCAGTGTCCGCCTGGGAACGTTTAAAGGTGCTGTTTGCCCACTGCTGCGGGGACTACCTGAAGGTAGCTGTCTGAGCCCGGCGCTCTTCAACGTCGTAATGGCAACGCTACCACTGTGCATGGACTCATCACCTCATCCTAGTGGTATGATAATTTATGCTGACATTTGTTTGTGGGTTCCCATTCCGATCGCCGTATACTTCGCCCTTTTATGCAAACCTGCCTTAAACGAGTTGCAAACATGCTGGAAGACCTCGGCCTCTCCATCTCGGCAGAAAAGACGGCTGTGCTCGCATGTTCTCGCCGTCCTCTTCGCCACGGGTTTCCACGTTTAACTTTTTCTGGGATCCGATTGCCACGTGTGCGAAACTACCGTTATCTGGGCGTTGATCTCGACTCGCGGCTCTGCTGGCGTCGCCACGTAACCACTCTTGTACGGCAGAGCACGATGACAACCTCCCTCATTCGTAGGCTTCGTGGCCTTGATTGGGGACCAACTCCTCGAGCCCTAACTCACGTGCATCGAGCGCTGAACCTGTCTCGAATTCTTTATGTTGCGCCGTACTTGCCCCCATTTGCTCTCTGTGGGATCAGCTGGAACGACGTCATCGCGCTGGACTAAGGATGGCCCTAGGACTCCCCTCTTACTCTCGAATAGAGGCAACGTGGATTTAGGCCCAGGAAATGCCAGTATCTTTGCACGCTAAGGAACGGGCTCTTCGCCATCTGGTTCGACTCGCCCAGTCAAGCAGCTGTGGTTCTCTTTACGAGGATATCCAACGGCGGCATTGTTCTCATTATGGCAGACACCGCAACACTTTGATAGAGGCGCTCGGATCTACACCAGCTGTTCAGCGTTCTCTAGCCGATTCACCGTGGAGTGAGCCTCCATTCACCGTATATGATGACATCCCTGGCTTTCATGGAAAATCACAGCATTCCTCGCTGGTCAGCCGCGCCTTGATGGAAGACGTCCTGGCGTCCCGCCACGCTTCATTTAAGATCATATTCACTGATGGCTCTGTTAATCTCATTAACGATTCCGCGTCTGCGGCATACCATATCCCATCAGAACATTATTCTTGGTCAGGACGGCTTGATCACGCTGTTTCATCGACTACGGCCGAGCTTTGTGGAATTCACGCAGCTCTTCTTTATATCTTGAAAAGGCCACCAGAAAACTGGCTGCTCGCAACGGACAGTGCGAAGCATTCGAAGTGGCCGAGGCGTTAATGCCAACATGACTCGTGATATATTTAATTTGGGACGTCTACTTGTTTTCCGAGGCTGTAATATTCGAGTGCAATGGATACCTTCACATGTTGGCATTCTTGGAAATGAAAAGGCGGACCAAATGGCTTTTAACGCTCTGCTCCTACCTACTGCTACTTTATACAGCTTCCGACCGAGACTGACTCAAAGATAGCAATCTAATCCTGGATACAGTATAGACATCCGGTCTCAAGAATTGCAGCGCATGACCCGCCTCCCCCGGCATGTACGCGGGGCTTAACACGCAAGTTTGCTTCCCTTCTTCACCGTCTTAGATCAGATTCCGCTTATACAAATGTTAACTTGTACCGGATTGGAAAAGCGGCATGCCCTAATTGCCAACACTGTGACCAACAAGAGACAATTGAAAACATATTTTTTTAAGTGCGAACACTACGCATCCGAACGAATTGAATTCTTGAACTGCCTGAGAGGGCTGGACATTCCTTTCACGCTCGAAGCTACATTATTTCCGAAGGGACCAACTTCCACGTGCATACGGCTGAGAAAATTTGTGTTTTGTTTTTTGGGCGCGTGCGAACTACTCTCAAGACTCTGACCGTGACGTGTAAGAAACTTTAGAACGGTAGCCTATACTTCGTTTCGCCATATCTGCGGGCGGGGCCGGGGCTGAGAGCGCGGGACCAGCGCTTTTAGCGCTTCTCCCCAGCTCGCGTGCTCGAGCCAAGCCTGAGCGCGCGGAGCTTTCGTGCTCGCGCTTCTAGCTTTGCCTTCGCTCGCACGTGGGGTGAAACGAAGTATAGTTAGGTCGATATAAGTACTCTCATTATTTATTTTGTGCTTGCTGGTGCGCGCTATGAGGTTCTGTCGTGTACAGCATTGTTTGAACATATGTCACAGTTCGTCTTAACGGCCCTAATCATTTTTTTTTTTTGCCCGCGAAACGTGTTTAGTCATTATTTTGCAAACTCTGCCCTCGTCATCCCCGGACCCCTTCCATCACCATATTTTCCCTTTCCTTTCTCCGCATTCACCCTCATCAACCTACAATAACCCAGGCCCGTGAAACATGCCCACGTGCGGCAAATGTCACGTCTGGCAAACAATACAACCAACCAACCAACCACTTGACTGTGAAAACGTTACGTGGACTAGAGGGGGGCTGTTCGTAAGCTTCGGTTCCTCTAGGTGGTGCTGGCAGTGCGGACCAGTCACCGCACTCGGAAACCTCCCGTAAAAGAATGGAAGAGAACTCTCCGTAGGCGTTTTGTTTCGTTCGCATAGAGCTTTCGGATAAAAGCGACACATTCGCACTGGTCCTCGCCGTGCGGCTGGTTGACTCGCCCGCGGGGGAAGTCAGCCGTGATCTCGCTGTAGTGCGAGAGGACCGGTTCTTCAGATCGGACTCGCTCGTCGTTTCCAGTGCGGCTTGGAGTCGCGAACAACCGAAACGACGATGCCTGCTACCGCGACGGAGGGAAGAATGACCTCTCGCGAACGGGCTGTTGCGATACACCGTGGCGCTTGCTTTGCCCTCGCACACTACCTGATTAGGAGCACGCGTGACTCATGAGGTCGGCCGGGCTTGACGTCCTTCGGAATTGGAGGGAACAGGAAGTGATCGAGATCGGTTCGGTGTGTCGTCTGGACTTGGCGTCTGGGAACGTGAGCTTCGAACGGACCCAACGCCATCGAAAATTGGCATGCGGTCGTTAGCTGGCTGGGTTTATGCAAAGCTAATTGCGACGATCTGAATGTTCCGTGCTTTAGAAACGCTGATGCCGTCGTCCCCGATTATTATTGTGAAATCCGGGACGAACATCATCGAGCAGCAAGCACTCGTGCGACTACGCCAAGACGGGTTCAAAATTATAGCAGCACTTAAAGGAGCACTGAAGCCATTTTTTTAAAAAGGTCCTTTTTGATCTTGTATTGTTTTAAATGTGTTAGTTCCCACATACTTCAACTCCTATATTACAAAACTCCCTATTCATCTCAGGGCAATTGAAAAACATGTGGACTATTTTTTCTCGCGGACTACATTGTGTGGACTAATGGAAGCCCTACAATACGCGCGGATTCCGAATGATTTTATTATAACTTGTTTCAAAGAGAGAGTGATAAGTACACATTCGGATAAGACTCCCCTTTTCTCCGCGGGCGAAGCCATCGCTTGCAACTCGCCAACAAGCGCCCTTCGTCCACCACTTCACTCGAAAGAAAATTCTTCCGAAAAATGGCGTGTTGCGATCTTTGAACCGCTTTAATTAGGAAATAAGCAACGCACGATTGTGATTTTGGGTTTGTTGGGATGCTTAGAGCGTCTACGTTGAGTTGTCACCACAAAAGGATCATCTCCGAATCGAGTTCAGTGCCCCTTCAACGTGAATGAAGGTGCCATCTGAGGCCTTACCTGATAGAGTGTCGGGTTGCCGTCAAGACACTCCCTTATTCGCACGGTACGCAAAATTAATTATGTTCATTGTATGTTTAGACAGCGGGAAGTTAGACCGCCCCAATAGGTGTATGGTGTGTACAGAGGAGAAATTTAGCCAGTGCAGTACCACTGCTAGCCTGCGTCTTTAACATGCATCCCGTAGTAGTGATACACGGCTGCAGGCCGGCACGATGCTCATCCGAATCGAAATGGGCAGCGGTGAAATTTTAACAAGGAATCTCTGTGTTCTGCAGCGCGAGCTTTCAACCCTCGTCTTCCGAGCTACTTGCGTTAAAAAACTGACCACCTACCTTTTTTTTTTTTTTTTTTTTCTGCATTGCTTGGCCGCCAATTGCCCGGCGGTTAGTGGTTAACACTATACAGAGGCGAGCGCCAGTGTTCACACTTATCTGAGGTGAGGATTTATTTTCGGTTTCGAAAACGTCTTTCGCAGTCCTTTGCTGACAACGCTTCACACAGGCTGGTCGCGACCGTCAGAATAAATAAAAACTATAAATAAAACAATATGCTAGATTTAAACCAAAACGTCACTGCGGTATCTGTCTGTCATTACAACGAACCACTAGTTCACCATCCCTCGATGTCTTCTTTCACAAAGCAGCGTTTTGGTACCCTGCATGAGTCGCAAAGACTCGGACGAGGGGCCACTGGAGCTGCTGCCCTCACTGGCTCCAGCAACAGCGTCCAACTGCAGAGTTGCGTGGGCGAAACGCGAACACGGCTCATCAGGCACAGTCTCCTCGATGCTAGCGGACTTCCCTCAGCCCTTGTGGGTTGTGACACTGTCTATCCAAGACCTGTAGGCTGAGGTCCTCATGTAGACTCCGGGCATGTTGGGCTCGGCGCAGCGAATGCCGTGGGACACGGTGCCCACCAGGACCCAGCGGCCGTCGTCGCGGAGAAGGGTCAGTGGACCCCCGGAATCTCCCTAACAGGAACAAAGTAAAAACAAGATACATCAAACAAAATGAATTTATTTCTCAGACAACGACAGCGTTCTTTTTTAAATTGATGGATACTCTGTTTAGCAAGCGCCGTTATTTTGGCAGTGTGTTCCACTACTTTATATATATATATATATATATATATATATATGTTATTTTTATTTTAGTAAGGCTTATAACGAACCAGGATTAGAACACATAACTTGTAACATAACAATTTTAATATCGCCAGGACGTAATCAGGGGAACATGTTTAGGGCCAAGGCAGTATGTAAAACAGGAAAACAATCTAGATAATTATACCTCTCACAAATATATGAATATATATAAACAATTTATTTTGAGCGACATTCTTCAGTTGGCCCCCAGGCGCGCTCCAATAAAACAAGAATAAGGTTTCATGGCTTAATAAGCAATTCTAAACTTTCGTAACCTTCGGTATTTCATAACGGAGGAACAACATTGTTCAATGGTCTCAAAAATGGCAATGCGTGTTGCTTTGGGAATTCTAGTGGGGTCCAATTGATAGTTTTATACTGTTTCTATGGAAACGTGGAAATCGTTTACAAGCCGAACCTTTGCGCTGTGGGAACGGCTAGGGTGCCTCAATGTCCTTCTGTTTAGGGTGATGCCACCCTTTGTAGTACCCGATGCCGACAGCACGCACTCCCGGGGAAAATACAAAGAAATCGACGAAAACAAAATGTCGCCATAGCACAGTCAGCGCCACAAGCGCGTGCAGGAACACGCTCTTTCACGCGCTTCTGAACAAAAAATAAAAAGTGTGAGACAAAATGGCCAGATGTCTCCACAATAAGCAAAGCGCACATGAAGGCACCCTAGGAACGGCGTGTTTCGAGCATCCCCATCTAGACCTAGCGCGGGGAAACCTGGGTGCCGCCATGTCGGGGCACAGGACCCGGATGCGAGAGGAGGCCGCTTTCTCTTGTGGAAGACTCTTCCTCGCCCTTCGGGACCTTGATATTTTGACGCGTTCGCCCCTCCCTGGAAACGAACCTACTTCCGACAATTCGGGCGTGTCCATTCCAGCAGGCTATTGGCGACTCCAGCGAAATCGACGCCGCGTAGCGGCAACGCCGAGAAGCTCAGGAGTGGAGGTCGTTTCGACTCTGTCATCTTCTATCGCTGCTTGGTTCTCGTAGGCAGCATAGAAACAAGCATCGTTTGCAGTAATTATTTTTGTTCTTCCGCCGTATCATTCCTACGACTAGAAGGTTTCTACCACCGAAAAATCGTTTTGCTTTCATATGTAACACCGATTTTACGCTGTAGTGCAAGAAATTTATGTTGGTCCGCGTGCTGAACGACGAAAACGACCTCCTTTCGGCCGCCATTTTGCCTGACCAGCGCCCCCTATGTTCGCTGGAGTCGCGAATAGACCAACTCGTGTTTACAAACATACCGGAGCACCCCTAGTGGACGCCATCGGCACCGCGCATGTGCGATAGAGTGTGGGAAAGAGGAACGCCGTCGTCCATGAACAAATCATTGGAATGTGATGTTGTCGGCATCAGTGCGAGTCCCCGTGCTCTTTGTAGCGTTGGGATTCTTCATTCTACGTCTTCCTGTCACTGACTACTTTAGCGGCCTCAGCAAAATTGACGGGGCTTGTTACTTTGCGAAACTTCGCGTGAATAATCTGACATGCGGCGATTCATTACGCGTGGGCGCCGCAGAATGGACGCTACAGCCTGATTGGGATCATGCGATTCCGCTCCCAATTTTCAGTCGTGACGCCGCTCGGGCTGCAAAAGCGTGAACCATAGCTGAGATGGTCGACGTCGATACTGAAAATCGCAAGCAGAATCGGACCGAGTGAATCAGGCATATCAAGACGGTGATGGCCACTGGTAACACTTATCAGAATCTCCTTGTATCCACTGTTTACACCGAGCCTACTTACTCTAACCAACCATCAGACTTAAAAGTCTGCTGAGGCATGCACTTACTTCTTATCGCACTTACCGGGTCAACATTTGGTCTACGGGCTGCTGTCGTCTGAGCTTTGAACGAACAGACAAGCAGAAACGTTTGGAAGAGCAGACGACAGTTCGAATGATCACGCGACCGCTTGAACTTGGAGACGCACTGAACGTAGTACGCAGGTGGTCAGTACTACCTGTCGGTTTTTCCGCGTTCATATTGGGGAAAAACAATCAAACGACCACAAGTATTCGTGAATTGAACACAAAGTGCTTCCCGCACGAGCAATCGTGGTCCGACGGCGTCTGGTATTACCTTTTCACGGCCCCAATCCACGTTCTCGGGCGAACGGAGAAGGCAGAAAACACGTAAAAACTGACTTTCAAACCTTTTCTGACTCGTTTCGTACAGCCCCAGTGCTACACACCATTTTCTAAATCCTCCAAGCGCCCCGGCCCGCACTCGAGGAAACATGGAAACGGTGTTCCTTCAAGTCACTAGACTAGTGATCGCCAATTTCGACCAATTCGATCCTTACACACTTTTGAGTGTAATCCAGAGTCATTGTTGTACAGAGTCCAAAGACCTGTCATACTACTTGTCGTACCATGTCGCACTGCTTCAAAGACTCTGATATTGCTTTAGAAACTCTAAAAAACACTGAACGGGCCCGCTAACTCCAAGTTAAACCCTGGTTATGGTTGTGAATTTTCGGCTTTCTAAGCAATGCCTGCTAAAACAACGAGCACAAAAATGATAATATTGTAAGAGATTTCCGCAGCTCAGCCAGTTGGAAAGGAGGATTGCATGCACGGTATCAAAAACGCTGACTCTGATCAGAAATTTTAAAAGGGATATCACAACTCTTTGGACTCTACACGAGGCTTATTCGGGATGACTCTAGATACACTCAAAGTGTGCAACCATCGAATTGGTCGAAATTACAGTTCACTAGGGAGCTGAAGGAACACCGTTCTTATGATTACTTGAGCGCAAGCCGGGGCGCTTGAGGTTTTAGCAAGTGGTCTATTTGAGGCTGCTCCCCTTTCCATGAATCTGCCTATTGCGGGAACGCGGAGACCGATCGGTGATCTATCACATTGTGTCAGAGCCAATACTTCTGACTTGATCGAGGCCAACGCGTGTAGGCATTTGAGTCATTAAACACGACGTTCCACGAACCCAGACATACTTGTGTTCTTATACACAGCTTGCAATGACGCCAATTGGTCCGACATAGAAGTGAAAAAGAGCGTGAGAGAATGGCTCCCGCTGCGTTAACGAGGTACTTCTGCCACCAGAAAGAGGAGCGGACCAGGGGCGTATCTAGGGGGGTGTGGGGGCGACCTCGTCCTAAGCCTTCCAAGGTCAACGTTTTCTTGTGTTTTCTTTATGTAATTAAAAAATCTATATGCTCTAGTTAAAAGGTCATTTTTGGTAACAGCAAATATTGGGTCAACAAAAAAAATAGATCTGGGCAACGTTTCTGCCGTAACATCATGTCAAAGAACATTTTATTACCCATTAAACATCTAAATGGGGAGGTCGAGGGGGAAAGCTGAGCAATCAGATTGACGAGGCCCTGCCTTGCCCCCCCCCCCCCCCCCCTCCCTCTCCCCTATATATTGGCAGACTCTTACGCCCCCCAACAAAGGTGAAAACCCACAGCGTAAACAGCATAAATAATGCTGTTTACGCTGTGGGTTTACATCTTTGTTGAGACGCTCTTTTCTCCTGTCTTTCTTCTTCGACTCCGTTTCCTTGCTTTTACCACAGTCTCGGGTTTTCTACATTATGATCAACATCCAACAGCTCGCCTGCGCACTCACAGTTTTTTTCATTGATAAATAATGTGTATGCACCAGCAAGAAGCAGGTGGGTTTGTACTTTGTCTTTCTTGTTCCCCATCTCCAGGGATTATTTTCGTCATGTGATATTGGGCCTCACTGCGCCAACCGCAGAGGGTTTCTGTATGGTTCAAGGTTCCTCTAGATGGCGCGGAGAAGACGCAGAGGTGGTGCAGGGGTCTCAGAGGCTCTCTAAGCAGCGCGGCATGTATCAATGGTAATGCGCTCCGCCGTTCGCAGGTCATTAGTGGCCGAAAGTACACTATGCTTTTGCGCGCACGTGCAAATGCTGTTTTTGCGTGCATATACGCATTATGCGCATAAGAATAATTTAATTGGGAATTACTCTGGTAGATGTGGAGGGGTTTTGGACCGCTCCTATGTTGGCATATGTTTCCGCATCAAGCGCGCGCTAGCATTTACCGTTCTAAAGGCGCGAGTATGGAGGGCGTTTTGATCGCTCCAAATAGACCATCGAAATTTCTCATGACTCCTTCCCAGGATTTCATTTAATTATTTTCTTATTTGTGTAAATAAATGTGGACATTTAGCAGTCCGTTACCGTGTTCGAAGTACCGCACAACTCGAGCCTTTGAAGCATGCTTTTAAGCGCGCGCCCCGCGGTCATGGTATCACCCGGGCGCGCGCTTAAAAGCACGCTTCGAATACTTCGGTAGTGATGTACACGGATCATGGTAACGGTTTGCTAAAAGTACCTATTGAAGAGCATTTCCTCGTGCGTGACTTTCACGTGATCTTATTGCGTTGTACTGGTCGTCATTCCTTCTCGTTCTTCCTGAGAGCGACACATTCGGTGGCGCGTAATGTATATGCCGCAGGAGGCACGTGATCAGCAGCAAGGGTACTTCAATGGCCGCTGATGTGACGTCAGTGCAGACGAAATATACGACACTCTGCAAGTACAGAAATGTCAGTCAAATTGAACCCCTCCGAAACACTTCACAAATTCTATACTCAAATGACACCTTAAAACAGCCGTTTTTTTTTTTTTTTTTTTTTTTTTGAAGAACGATTGGGGTTTTTACTTAACTGCTAAACGAAATTGTGTATATAAAGCTTTTTCATTCTTTGAACATTTCATTACTCAGCTTTTAGCCTATAATGGAATCACAAACTTGTACTGCGTTTAATGAAAAGGGAGTGTGTGCTGGCGAGCTGGTGTTATTTAATCG